GATATATTAACGTTATTGGAAAATTTTCGAATAATTTTCAATAAACCACACTAGTCAAAGTGAAAATTATTTTCGTAATGTTAAGTTCAATTTCTTGAATATCGTCCAAAAAACTGACACTGTCAGTAATCTAACTCTTTTGGCCCTAACTAAAGTTTCTTTATCTGTTAGTTTTTGTTACGTAAGAGAATTGAGATATATATATATTTTATGAAAAATCTTTTTCGGTAATATCTCGAATATTCGTGATGTACAGTTAACGATATATAGTGCTCAAACATGAAAGAAGAAAATGGCTGAAAGCCAATTATATTAAATCTTGAAAGCTTTGATTCTATCTTTTTAGAGGGTTGTTTTTTTAAACTACAGTTATTTCTCAACAAATTCATTCGTCATTTGTAATATTTATTTATATATTTTTATATAAATTATGTATTAATACATACACACACACATACACACAAAGAGACTCATGTACATAAAAATATAATATATATATATATATCTTAATCTATATAAATTACGTGTCACGTTGTTTGTCCGCAATGGACTCCTAAACTACTGAACCGATTTTAATCAAATTTTGCACACTGTGTGCAATTTCATCTAATTTGAAAGATAGGATAGTTTATATCTTAATTTATAATCGCAATATTATTTTATTGCGAATTATTTGTTTATTAACAAAGAGTCATGATTATCTCTGTTAGTTCGATAGTAAAATATATTTTTTAATATAATTTTTCTAATTTATATTTAATTTCATTTCATTTCATTTAATATTATAATATTATAGTATATAGAAAATATATAAATATAAAAAATTAACAAATATATTTTATATATAAAATATATATATATATATATATATATATATATAAAATTATATAAAATTTATATAATGTATATTAATATTATAAAATATATAATATATAAAATATAATTGAATAAAATTAATTTAATATAATTTATATAATTAAATAAAAAATAAATGATATTAATATATATATATATATATATATAAGACAAACTAAAACATAAAATGAAAAAGAAATTATTTATAAAGTTTACATAATTATATTAACAAACAATTATTATTAATGATTATTGAATTTTATTTTTTCATTTTCTATTGATTACCAGGAAATGCAGTTTACTGAAAAGAGATACCTGAAGTAGTAATTATAGTCTCGTGAGAATCGTGCAATCATTGAAGTTAATTTTTTAATAAACATTAAACACACACACACACACATATACACATACACATATAGGATATATATCGAATTGGCCAAGGTTCACCGCATTCGTTCGTTCGTTGGTTCGTTCGTTCGTTTGTTCGTTCATTCGGCCATTTCATTTTCTACGTTCACTTTTACGCAATCTACAAGAAAACGATCGACCTTTTTTGTTTCTTTCTTTCTCTTTCTCTTTCTCTTTCTCTTTCTCTTTCTATTTCTCTGTTCTATTATCCACAATTTTAAAACAGAAAGATTAAAGTAAAAACATAACGGATTGTAAAGTTTTAATGATTGTTTAAATTTCTATTTATTCTGTTTATAATTAAATTCAATCATTTGTAATTTTTTATTTCTATCTTTTATACTTGTTTACATTTTTATTTCTCTATACTCATATATATATATATAAAAATAAAAAAAAAAATTAAATTAAATAAATATGAGTCACATTCAAAATTTATTGTTCAAATTAAATTATAACTTAAATAAAAAGACAAAAAGATAAAATTAAAAAAACACAAAAAAAAAACACAATATATATATGTGCCCATAATTATGATAGTGGTCTCTAAGTCAAAATTAAAAAAAAAAAAAAAACATAAAATGAGTTTATCAGTTATTATGCACCACATTATTTTAAACTAAATAAATTCAATGTAATTTGAAAACGATATTGTCAACAATAAATCGTTAGATAATGTTTTTGTTATTTTATAATATTATATAGAATTTATATAAAGTGTTCAAATATAAATCTTTAAATATATTTCGAAACAAGAGATACAAGAAACAAGACTTACTTAGACCACTTTCATAATTATGGGCACATGGTACATATATATGATATAAAATTTAATTAAAAAATTAATTTTTATAATTAAATTATTTAAATCAATTAAATTTGTTAGAATATATAATATATAATAATAATAATAATAATAATAATAATAATAATAATATATATTTATTGTTATATATCATTATTGATATATATCACTGAATATCATATGAATCACTGAAAAAATATGATATTATATATCATATTATATATAGTATATATATAAATATATATAATATTATATATATATTATATTATTGTATATATATATATAAATTATTACATAATTTTATATAATTCCTTTTTTTTTTAATTAATTATATAAGTATGGATAAATAAATATTCATTATACATGAATTATTTTTAATATTTTTTTTATATATTTTTTATATATTTTTTATACATGTTTTATATATATATATATATATATATTTTTTTTATAATATATAATTATAAAATAATAATTTATACAAATTTATTCTAGTATTAGGTCATTAAATATGAAATGTCTGATTTCAAGATGAAAATAAATATTAAACTTTTAATAATATATAATGTAGAAAATATAAAATATTTATTATTAATATATAATATATTTTATATATTTTTATATTTTATTTTAGATATATTCTTTGTATATTTCATTATAATATATTTTGTTTATCCAAACAAAAATCATTATCCATATATATATATATATATAAAGTAATATATATATATTGCATATGTGTATGTAGCATGTGCAATTTAAACATGACTAATGAACAAAGTACAATGTTCAAGATTATATTATTTCTCTAGCAAACGTTAATTCCACCTACGTGTAAGTTCCATCGATCAGGTTTTTTTTTTGTTTCTTTTATTTTTTTTTTTTCGTCAAATCAATTGACTAGAAAATATATTTCCTTGTTACTTCATGCATCAAATATTTATCATATATATATACATATATATATATATATGTATGGTTTTTATAGTCCAGATAATTATTTTTAAATGTTTTTTTTTTATCTATACTAAATAATGTTTATATTAAATTCAATTTAATTGCGTGACATTCATTTCATTTATTTATCACGAAAGAAAGATTTTTTTTTATTATTTTTTTTTTTTATTTAATTATTATCTACCATATGTCACATATATTAATGATAATATATATATATATATATATATATATATATATATATATATATATATATANATAATTATTATTATATAATATATATAAATATATAAATTATATTATATAAAATAATTTTTATCACAATGATATTTATATATACAAATTATTAATATTTAATACTAAATTATTATTATTATTATTATTATTATTATTATTATTATTATTATTATTATTATTATTATTATTAATTGGCATTAGATTAACTCGAAAGTTAATAAAATAAATTCAATATAATTAATATTAAATAATTAATATCTTTTATAAATAATATCATTAAATTCATATATATATATATTATTAGTTAACAAGTTATTATTAGTTAATAAAATAAATTAATTATAATTCATATTAAATAATTAATATCTTTTATAAATATCATAATTAAATTCATAATATATCATAAATATATATGAGTATCAATTATTTTATTTTATTTTTTTTTTTCAAAATTTTAATCACTCAAATATTATTTATCACTACGTGACTCATTTCTAAATATTCATCTTTCTATCTGTCTGTCTGTCTCTCTCTCTCTCTCTCTCTTTCTTTTTATTCTCATCTTTTTTTTTTATGTAATATAAAAAATAACATTTCGTATCAGTCGAATGATACTACGATCGATCCTATAATAAAAAAGAAAAGAAAAACAAGAGAAAACCTTGCCTTATGTAACTATAAATGTCATTTACTCCTTTCACGTAACACACAACTATGGCTTCTTTAAGAACTCTATGATCCGTGATGATGATACTACCATCACTAGTGGGCTTTCTTGAATGGTAGTTCTGATATGATGATAGACACGTGTAACATGACGTGTTACTAAATAAGATTTTACACTATAACGACTTGACATTGCATCATTAAAGTTCCTTTGCAAATATTATATTCATATCTATATATAGAACTTTTAATATTTATTAAATATATCAAATTAATTTTATTCCAGTATATATAATACATAAAATGTCACGTTAATAATAAAATAAAAGAAAGAAAACACCAATGATTTTGTAATGTAATGAATCAGCCATCATGTCAGTAGTACATTTTGAAATCAATAAAACAAAGAAATAACATATTCTATATATACATATATATAAAGTATAATTAAGGTTAAGAAAGAAAAATAAGAATCATTGTTACCCAGTAATTAAAATATCTTTGTGTATTTGTTTAATCATAAAACGTCATTAATCTCTTTGTTCCAGGTATCGGAGTATTTGAAATACGCGCTATAAGATAGCGTTGTGTCACGTGACGGTGCGGCTTATTGACCAAGCCGTACGCTTAACGCGAATGGTCAATTTCGGTCACGTGACTACGTTGTAACGTCAAGTCGGGGTTACCCGTCTGCTTTTCGATCGAACGGATAACACAACGGACCTTCGAAGGACAAAGAATTCGTGAATAATAATACGCAAAACGTAAAATCGTTTTACATCATTTACTGATATATCCTTTTGTTAATTTGAGTGTAACTCGTGTTTTATCATACGACAAAAAAAAAAAAAAGAATTTGTTAATAGATTCATTTTGAAAGAAAGAAAGAAAAGAAAAAAAGAAACAAAATAAATCAGCTGTGCGAATAACATTCGCGGGATTATTGTTTCGATCTATTTGACAGTTCACACGAAACGTTTGTTCAGTTTGACAGTGTGACATTTACGAAATAATAAATAATATTTAAATGTTTATAACAAAAGTTGAAGATTAAGAATATCATTTTGTATTCAGTATTATTTGTAAAGAGTGTCATCTTTAAAAAAAAAAGAAAATTTAATTAATATAGTGATAATAATTGATAATGATGATTGTGACGATGATTAAACATGGTTAAGTAAATAATAATATACAGTTGTCAAGATATTATTACTTATTAAAGAAGAAGTACTGTGATTCGTTGAGAAAGGGTGGAAGATAAGATTCTTCTCCCTTCTCTTGAAATTCTTCTTCTTTGTGTCAACGTCAAAGTCAACGTCAAAGTCAACGTCAACGTTTATTAATAATTTACTATAAAATTATTTATTATTGTCATTTGATCTAATTTATCTGTTATTAACGAAGATCGGTTTTAACTGATTATGATGTACAAGATGAACTACATAGGGAAATTTATTAGTAATTTTCGCGATTTTTACAATGAAATCAATGCGGCAACGTTAACTGGTGCAATTGACGTGGTTGTCGTTGAACAAGCTGACGGATCTTTCACCTGTTCACCTTTCCATGTTCGTTTCGGTAAACTCGGTGTATTACGTTCCAGAGAAAAAGTGGTTAGTTTATTTTATATTTACAATAATTATAATATAATTATTATTATTATTATTATTTTATTATAATTTATTTTATTATTATAGTGTGTATATAAATATAATTTATATTGACTAGTATAGTACTAGTATAGTATACTACTCAATACTAGTTTAGTACTATACTAGTCAATACAAATTATGTATATATATATATATATATATATAATTTATAATATAATAATATTAATAATTAAATTATTTCATTAATTAACTATATATATATATTATTAATATTATAATAATATTTGTTATTTAGGTTGACATTGAAATCAATGGAGAACCAAGACAAATTCATATGAAATTAGGAGACTCCGGTGAAGCTTTCTTTGTCGAAGAAGTTAGTTCAAATGGTTCACCAACCGATACTGAAATTCCACCGCACTTGGCATGTTCACCAATACCAGATGACAGTTGTTTTCCATCAGCCAGATTTAATCCATTATCAGATCTTCCTCAAGAACAGAGAGACAAGATACTCATAGATTCAGTTTTATCAATAGAGAGAGAAAAATGGGAACAAATGTCTGCATTGCCATCTGAAGAAAGAGAAAAATTTTTGATAGAACAATTTGCCGATCTACCAGCTGAACACCGTGACAAATGGCTTCAAATAGCATCATTGACAATTGAAGAAAGAGATGAAATGTTTCGACAAAGCTTTGGTACTATTTCAACATTGCAAAAGCAACAAATGATACGTGAACAATATTCGGCGTTAAAGTTGGAAGAAAAGGAGAGATTGTTTAAAGAAAATTTTCCTGAATTACCTGCTGAACAAAGGCATAAGTTTGAAAAGGCTTTGTTGAGCGACTGGAAACAGAAAGATGATGACAAGTGGGATGACAAATCTTCAAATGTTTTGAAGAACAATGAAGAAGAAATTTTTGACATGGAGGGTATCAATGATGATGAAGAATCACAGCCAATAACATCAATTCCTAAATCATTCGTTGCAGTAACATCGGAAGACAAGATACGTAAGATCAGTGTCGTTAAAAATGATTTCATACCAATATCTAACGACATTGAGGACAACGATAAAGCTAAATCAAATTATGAATCTAATTCATGCGTTATCAAGCAAAGAATTCGTAAGATTGGTGTTGTCAGTAATGATTTTATTCCAATAATGGATGATACACAGAGAAACAATAAAGAAAAGTCTAGCGATGAATCTAATTCATCTTCTAATAAAAAATTGTCGAGAGATGAGACTGGTGAAGAATCCAAAATTAATAATTCGACTAAAAGAAAGAGAAAGAGGAAGAGTATCATGAGGAAAAAGGGTTCACAAAGAAAAACAAGTAATGGTAGCAGTAGTCAAACTGAAATGAGTGAAACTGATGTCAATGCAACTGAAGAATCTCCTCATGGTGAAGCTGTAAGTTACATTAAATCATTACCAACACAATGTATACATTAATTTCTATTTATTTATTTATAAATATTTCTTTTCAAGATATTGAAAGGACCAAGTCCGGTGATGGAAGTCGACACGAAGAAAGATTCACCCAGTATTGTAACGTCAAGTGAAGAAATTTTGGAAAAACGTCCAGAAACTGATTTCCATTTCTTCAGTGATACAGAAATAACTAAGTAAGTTAATTATATTATATATAAATATAAAATAAATATAAATATGTAGAAGAAACAAATGAATTAATATTTCTAAAACGTTATATTAAAAGGAACCAAGATTCTAGGCCATGTTCACCTATACAATCAGATACAGAATTTGAAATGCGTAAAATCACACAAGAGAGTTGTGAACAAGAAGATGACAAAGCTCATCAACAAAGTTGGAAATGGGGAGAATTGCCAAACTTGCCACCTGAATCAACTCATCCTTCTCATAGAAATTCGGTTAATTCTTCAGTTGTAATTCCCCAATCTAATGATAGTAAGTTAATAATAATAATAATAATTAAAGTAAGAATAAAATCACATGTTTTTTTATTGTTATTTTATTATAAATCTTCTCTTTCAAAGATATCACATCACGTATACATAGTCATTGGACAATATTCGTTGTAATTAAAACCACATTCATTTAAATCTTACAAACTAACTTGTAATATAATCCACCATGTCATATAACACATCATTTATTATTATTTAAATAACTATGTGTTATCAAAATCATGTTAATTAAAAATGCTTGACTATTAACAACATTGCTAAATGCTAATTTAAAATGGTAGCAGAGGCACATCGGTCAATGCTCAGTGGCATGTTCTCGTTTATGAAGAAGACCTCACGTGTGAGGCATAATCCAGAATCCGAAGGAATTTATCTTAGTGATTTAAATGCCGATGAATTGGATCCTGAAGTTGCAGCACTTTATTTTCCCTCATCTCATCGTGGAGCAACTGTGGTAAAAGGTATACACAAATACGCTTTGCTTGTTCAATGTTTTTAAACACAAACTACTAATTTATATTAATTTTGGACACAAAACAAAACTGCATACAACATTTGTTTAATCCAATGATATATTTGTATATTTATTGTAATTAAACATTTATTCAATTTTTTTCTATTAAAACTAAACCATTTTTGTTGTACAGATTGTATTAGAGGGATTGAAAAGTAATGGCGTTACTACGCATGTCAAAATTGTTTCTAATATTTTCAATCAAAAAACTGATTGATGATTTATATATATAAATATAGTTAATTTATTTAATTATTGATTATTAATAAAAACTTGTTTGAATTTTGAGGTTAAAAAGCAACATTACTTTCTGGTCCACTTAATATAGGAAACAAAAATCTAATCTAATACAAATAACAATAACAATTTTGTATATATATATATGTTAATTAATATAATTATGTGTCAAAATGAGTATTTAATTAGTTTATATTATTAACAATTATTAATTACAGATGCAAAAGTAAATGATGAAGAAGATACCGAATCCGGTAATGGTCCAAGTATTCCACAAAGTCCTAACAGCGTTGAAGGAGCCATTGGTGGTCCTAAATCATTGGACAGTGATTTTGAAGAACCCAAAAATTCTGTCTTCGATAGTAACTTTGAAATTAGTCTTTCATTGTGTGGTGGTTTGGATAGCGAGAGTGGTCCATCGAAGGAAGCTTTCCATCAAAATTTACTTCATTATGAAGATATTTGTACTGATCCTAAATTATACGATAATCCTAATTTGGTGGTTAAAATTAATAACAAATATTATAATTGGGCAACTGCATGTCCAATTGTCATGACCTATGCTGTCTTTCAAAGACACTTGCCTCAAAATACTATTGAAAATTTGTACGCTCAATGTATGCCGTTATTGATGCACGTTGATAAAAAACAATCGAGTACTGAAAAAGCTGAAGGTCGTAGTGGTTACAGTTCATGGTTCTCATGGGGTAGATCTAACACTCAAGCTAAAAAATCTCAAGAAATAAGTCAAGGTAAATATTAATTAAAGTACTTGAACGTTGGTCGTCCGGGATAAAACTTTTGAGCGGGTCGTAAACCAGACGAACGAAATTAACGAAGAACTTAAGAAAATAACTCAATCTAGGCAACTCATGTTTTTATTCGGTTAACAAATTACTCAGCTCGCGGTTGCTGTCTAGGTGATTAAAAATCAGGATATACAGGACAATCATCCTGCCGGTAGTCCTTTATGGTAGCGAATCGTAGTCGCTTACGTTACGGGACGAAAAGAAATGTAGGGTTTTCGAAAACAAAGTTCTTCGTAAAATCTTCGGTGCAAAACGCGATGAGGAAACGGGCGAATGGAGAAAACTCCATAACGTTGAAGTACATCGATTGTACAACAAACCGGACATTATCAACTTTGTAAAATCACGCCGATTAAGGTGGGCTGGTCACGTGGCGCGGTGCATGGGGGAGGATCGAACGGTGCACAAAATATTGGTCGGTATACCAAACGGGAAAAGACCACTAGGTAGACCGAGACGTAGATGGGAGGATAATATTAGAAGGAACCTGAAAGAAATAGGATACGAAGACCGCGAATGGAAGGATCGCGGTTAGGGACGGGGGAACAATGGCGGAATTTGGTATTTGCAGCAATGAACTTTCGAGTTCCTAATGCCAGTTAATAATAGTAATAATAATAAATATTAATTAAATGTATATTAAATTATAAATAATATATATATATGTTTAACTTTGATTATAGTTGATGGACCAACTTTGATTGGTGGAGAATCTTCTGAACAAGTAATTGAATGTAAGGAAGCTATTGTAATAAGAGACATGCCAACTACAGAAAGGTATGTAATAAAAAAAGAATGTTTATTTTGTAATATGAAATTAAATGTAATCATTGATATTATTTATTTAGTAATATTGATCTCAAGACTGATACGATCTCAACGATAATTTCTGTAAATATGGAAACCCATGAATTAAGGAATACACCTACCGATGATAGTTTGATCATGAAGACTGAAAAACCATGTGAAAGAGAAGGTGAAGGTTATAGTGGTAGTGAAGATTCTGATAGTAATCAAAATGATTTACAAGGTGTTAAAATACCAATTGAAAGAAGATCCTATTACGAATCTACTGAAAAGTATAGAAAAACTTTGAGATTGTCATCTGAACAAATAGTATGTTATTTATTATTTATATACAATTATAATATTGAGTTTATAGAAATAAATTAAATACAATTTTTTATGTTAATTATAGGCAAGTTTGAATTTGAAAGAGGGACCCAACGAGGTAGTGTTCAGTGTTACAACAGCTTATCAAGGTACCACTCGTTGTAAATGTCATATCTACAGATGGAGATGGGATGATAAAATTGTCATATCAGACATCGATGGTACCATCACCAAGTCTGATGTTTTGGGTCACATTTTACCAATAGTTGGAAAGGATTGGGCACAGTCCGGTGTTGCTCAATTATTTACTAAGATTAAGAACAACGGTTATAAGTTGTTGTATCTTTCGGCTAGAGCTATAGGTCAAGCTAAAGTTACCAGGGAATATTTGAAGAGTATCAGACAAGGAGATTTGTCACTTCCTGAAGGTCCTTTACTTTTAAATCCTACCAGTTTAATTTCTGCATTCCATCGTGAAGTTATCGAAAAGAAACCGGAAGAATTTAAAATATCATGTTTAAGTGATATTCAAGCGCTATTTCCAGAAGGCTCTAAACCATTCTACGCTGGATATGGTAACCGTATTAATGTAAGTGTATTTAAATAAATTATTATTTAATGTTTTTATATTATTTCAGTGTTACAAAATTTGAATAATTTTTAATATATTAGTAACAAATTGTGTGTGTGTGTGCTTTAGAATGAAAAGATCGTGTTAAAATGTAACTATACGGTTGCTAACTTGACTTTTTTTGAAAAATGGAGTTAGGTCATTTTCAAAATAAATGAATCATATAAGTAATATATTATATTTAATTATAATTTAAATATAATTTATTTATTTAATTTAATATAATAATAATAGATTAATATAAATATAATTTATACGGTTGCTAACTTGATTTTTTTTTTGAAAAATGGAGTTAGGTCACTTTCAAAATAAACGGTTCATATAAATAATATATTATATATAATTATAATTTATGTTTATTTAATTTATTAATAATAACAGATTAATATAAACACAATATTAATATTTATTGCAAATAATATTAATTAATATGGCGGACCAGAAAGTAATGTCGTTTCTAAGCATATCAATTTTTATATTTTAATTAAAAAAAACCAGTTGATTTTGATCAATCCAGTATTAACAATTTACAGAATAGATGAAACAATTTACAAATAGATTTACATAATAGATTATAACGCGAGATTGAGGTTATGTTATTAATTAAAAATAAGAACTCGTTAAAAATGTATTTGTTTGAATTTAAGACTAGAAAACGACATTACTTTCTGGTTCATCAATACTTTGTTTTTGATTATATTAATCTTTTTCTAGAAAAATATACGTTTGAATATTTTCTAATAATAATAATAATAATAATAAAATATACAATTAAATATTTAATTTGATATATACAGGATGTTTGGGCATATAGAGCTGTAGGCATTCCTATTATGAGAATTTTTACCATAAACCATAGAGGAGAACTGAAACATGAATTGACACAAACATTCCAATCCTCGTAAGTAAATTTATTTATTTATTTATTTATTTAGATATATATATATATAATTATTAACACAAATAATTATCATCTTAACTGTAATTAACACACAACATTTAATTTAATATCATTTAGATGCTATATCTTTTATTTTTTTTTTATCCTAACTGTATATAATTGTCCGCTTATTTAAAACGTTGTTTAATAACAAATCATAGCATCATTGAGAATGATAAAATAGAATATTTTAATTAATATATAACTTAGTAGCATTTAATTTCAGCTTTCATTTTGGATAGAATATTTTCAGATTTTTTTTTTATTTAATACAATTATTTTATCAAGCTTGACTAATTAGACCACGATAATTTGTCTCTTATCGATGAACAACAACGTGGTTCAAATGAAACATTTCAAATATCCAAGGACTGGTTGAATGTGTTAATAATTTCTGTCAATTTTCTAACACAATTAAATTAGCAGTATTTCTTTTTTTCTTTTTTACATTTACAGTTTATTATTTATGTAACATGACACAAGTAATAATTTAATTGTGCAATCGTCATGTGCGACTGTATAATATTTGTTTAACACAATATTGAAAGAATTAATCTGTTTTGTATAAGGTAATAAATTAATTTGTTGTAATGTCATACTTCAAAATTATAGAATTTAATATTACGAAGATAAAATAATGACAAAACAATACAAATATAAAAAAAAAAAAAAAATAAATTCGTCAAATTTTGAATAGGCTTTTGACAGGGCGGATATTTCTGTGATTACAGCTACGCGTGTCAGTGCGATATCGTCAATGAGTTGTTTCCACCACTGCCCACGTCAAACGTCCAATGATGATGAACACAACCATTTTTTTTTTTTTCTTAATTAAAAATTACGTAGACATTACGTAGAATTTTTATTAGAGAAAGTTATTAGTGTTAGTTAAATGAAAAAACAATGAGCACGATTAATTTCAATTTGTATCATTGAGAGAGAGAGAGTCATTTATGGTAGCACGTATATATATATATACCATTAATTTAAAGTCAAATCAAATACCCAGGGAAAATTACAATAATTTGCATGAAATTTTCTGTTGCATATATTGAATTATTGTTGTTATTGTTATTGTTATTGTTTTTACATATATTATATATATATATTTTATTTATTTATTATAAGAATATTTATACGAGCAGTATTTTAAATATGATGTATATTGACTCTGTCAGTATTTTGTTCTGTCCAATACAGAAAATAGTCGCGTTTTTAATAATTCCAATAGGAGTTTTTTGTTGTTGTTGTTGTTATTGTTATTGATATATTTCAATTGTGAAAGTACATACATCACATTATTTATTTAGAAGTATTGTGTCTCTCATTGTATTTTAAGGTATTTTGGTTGTGCTACACTTGGTATCTTCCATTATGATTTCTAGGGTAAGCACTTGTTGGTACACACTGTAGCTTTTATTTTATTCTTTTGTTTATAATAGCTTTTGACAAATTTTTTTTTTTTTTTTCATTAATCGCAAACATCGTTCATATTTCTATATTCACGAGTTCTTCATGAATCCAACACATCATTGTTCATCGTGTTAAATCACATTTTTAAATGGGTGATTGAAATAATTCTCAACAAAAAGACCAAAAAAAAAAAACATTTCTTTTGTAAATTATTTCATTTTTTTCCTTTTTTTTTTTTATTAACACTTTTTAATGTGTATCACATTGAAGTTTATCTAACTAACAAGATAAATGATGTTTATTAATCTTTTGAATTTATGCTTCTAATTATTTTCTTTTTAATTAGCTTTTGTTATTTTTCATCTAAAATCCTTTGCACTCGAATGGCGCCGATACGGCGCCGCCCGGCGGCTGATTTCAAGTCATTTGTTACTCAATCTGTTTATTTATGATGTGTGATAAGATATTTCTTTTAAGATATACTTAAAAGGGTTGAAAAGGGTTTGTAAGGTTTACTCTGATCGTAATACACCTGAAGTTAGGCCGGAAGTAACATTTTATTGTGATACGCGTCCTGATAAACACCTAAAATACATCTTGGGCATTGTTTTATGAAATATCATAACACAAACTAATTACAGAATATAATATTTCACAAATTTTCTTGCTTTTTTGATATAAAAATAAATCAATTGATAAAATTGGATTATTTGTATACGTTTGTTTGTTTATAAATGACTTTAAAGAAGTACGTGTAAAATGGTTCCTTAATTTGGCTGACATTGTTTCGAGTTGCTGGTTAGTGCAAATGAAGAAGGGCCTTGAGTGCAAAGGGTTAATATACAATAAACAAGTATATAAAATTAGGATAATATTAACACATTCGAGTACCGGTTATAAAATAATGAAATTCTGAAACTGATTGCTTGAAAAGAACTTTTGAATTAAAAGAACAATGATTTTTGCATATATTCTCTTTATAAATATATAAATATAAATTATTAATAATTTAAATTTATATTTTAATAATAAAATATAATTATTTAAATATTATATATATATTTATTTTAAATAATTAATTAAATATTATTATATATATTATATATATTAATATATTAATATATATTAATTAATATATATATATATTAATATATTATTATAAATTATAATATAATATATTAATATTATTTTTATATAATATATATATTTATATATTAATATGAATTACGTCAGCACAGCAACCAGGAATAGAATTTGAAAAGACGTGTATTCACATCATCGGTCACGAATGTGTTAACATATACCTAAATTAACAAAACATTAATTTATAATAAAAATTGTACAAAATATTCATTTTTAGAAATTGTACAAAGTATTCATTTTCATAACAACACATTAAACAAAAAAGTTTGATTATAATCACTGCGTATTACATTTATCATTACAGTTCTATTTATTACATTACAAAATGTAATTCATCCGAGCTGCTTTATCTGATATCATCGATTTGAAATAATTATCAAATAATGTTGCACATCAATGATAAATAATTATATTTTTCTTTTTTCTATAAAATCTTAAATAATCTTCTCTTTTTGTTTTTATTTCAGATATTCAAATATGAGTGTCATAGTTGATCATCTATTCCCAGCATGGCGTGAAGAAGCTGCAGATGAATTCAGCAACTTTGCTTATTGGAGAGAACCGATTCCTGAATTACCTAAACTCGATGATCACTTTACGCAAACTCAAACAGTTTAAACAGATTAATCTTTTATTACTGGAGCAATAATAATATTCGTGCTCATAAAAAGGAAAGAAACAAACAAACAAACCTAAAACAAACACTATCGTCATTTATTATAATTAACTACTACTACTATTACTATATTTGTACCCCTATACTTAAATGTAGTGTTCTTGACTGGTGCAATTCAGTGACATTATACAAGAACAAGATTATTATACTCTTCTAATCGTCTTCTTACATGTTAAAGAATCCTAGTAGTAGAGCACAAAATATTGAAAAATATTCAATACATGTGTATTTAATCCTTTCGTTATGAGCACCGGAATTAAACGGCCTCCACTCGACGACCTGTGTGTACGAATGCCGGATCTAAACGGCACCCACTCGACGATCTATGTGTACGAGCGCCGGATCTAAACGGCCTCTACTCAACGACCTGTGTGTACGAGCGCCGGATCTAGACGGCCTGTGTGTACGAGCGCCGGATCTAGACGGCCTGTGTGTACGAACGCCGGATCTAAACGGCACCCACTCGACGATCTGTGTGTACGAGCGCCGGATCTAAACGGCCTCCACTCGACGACCTGCGTGTACGAGCGCCGGATTTAGACGACCTGTGTGTACGAGCGCCGGATCTAAACGGCTTCCACTCGACGACCTGTGTGTACAAGCGCCGGAATTAGTCGGCCTCTTCCCAACACCTGTGAATACAAGCGCCGGATCTAAACGTTAACTCGGCTGCATGATGTCTCATATGGTGGCGTTACACCTGCAGAGCAGACTGCCGTAACGAAAGGGTTAATATTAAAAAGACATTAATAGTATATTACATACCTAGGGTGGTAAAGTAAGGAATGGCTTAGAGCACATGTAATTGTTGTCAGAGGCTAAGCCGAGGTCAACTATTACATGTGCTCTAAGGCTTTCTTATTTATTGCCCATGGTGTGTATACTTTTTCTCTGCTCGACGTAGGCGAAAAGCGGCAACTTTGTTTTGCACAGCAGGAGAAAAGTTGACGCTTTTCTTTTCGGAGGGAAGACAAAATATCTCTTTTTAATATTAAATACACATGTATTCAATATTTTGCAATATTTTCTACTCTACTAGGATATATTATCGTCTTTTTTTGTTGTTTTGTTTTATTATTAATTAATATTTATTACTAAGAAAATCATAATCATAGTATATGTGGCTATTATGATATGTAAATTCACCATTATTGATATTTCGTGCTTCAGTTTTTCAGTTTATTGACATTCCATAGCAAACAATAGTAAAAAATGAAAACACCCTATATATATATATATATATTAATCAAATACATTGTTTGAAATTATGCAAATCATGAAAATCCTGTTGCACCAGTCAGTGCACAGTAAAACTATTCGAAGAAAAGTAATTTTGATGCTCTTAGTAAAATCAAAGTATAAACCTTGCTTTTATGTATGCTTGAAAAAAAAAAAAAAACAAAAAACAAAAACAAAAAATGGATAAAAAAAAAAAAGCGTATAAAATGTGTACTCGTAGTTTGTGAATCTAATCTTGGAAGTATAATGTGACTCAAATTACGATCAATATTATAACAATGTTCCATTATTAATTATTATTAATAATTTAATAACAGGGCTGCTTATTTGTGCTAGGAATTGATTTTTGTTTGTTTTTGTTAGGTTAGAATTTTTCTTTAAAAACGACTTTACGTAGCGTTGATTATAAATACGATTTTTGTTAACAAAAATATTCATTTAGCATATTAAACAAAAAAAATCATTTGTCAACTGTATAATATATATATTATATATGTATGTATGTATGTATTTATATTATTATATATAAATATATACATATATATATATATTTATTTATTTGATTTACAGTTAATTGTTTTTCAATTGATTCAGATGTATTTTTTTTTTTGTTAACAAAAATACTCATCTAGCACATTAAGAAAATATATATATATATATTTATATATATATATATATATTTGATTCATAATTAATTGTTTTTTGATTAATTAATTGAAACAAAAAGAAAAACGAAAACAAAAAATTATTTATTTTTGTACAATGTATTTGTTGTTTAGTTTAACGTGCTGTGAAATTGCCATATCTATGACAAACAATTAATGTTAGATTTTTATTATGTTGAAATAATTGAATTTAATTTAATAAGACTTTTCATCATCTGAATAGTGAACTTATAATAATAAATAAGCTAATATATAAATATACGTATATATATATATATATATATATATATATATATATGTATGTATATGTATATGTTTTTTTTTATAGGACACATTATCATAGGATTTGATTCCAATTTTTCTTTTTTTTTTTTTTCTTTAAGTTAATTCATATTATAATATTTATAATCATATGTTTATTTATACATATATATATATATACTTAATTGTTTAATCGAATAATGGTTCTCATAATACGTTCTATGCCACATTGTCTTTCAAACAAATGGAAAAAAAAAAAACCTTTTTAATCGAACTGTAACTAATTTCTTTTTTTTTTTGTTTTTTTTTTTTTTTATTACAATTGGTAAGAAAAATTATTATTATTATTATTATTATTATTATGAATATGATAAACAAAACACATCGATGTATTTTTATATTTTAATCGAAATAATTTGTTCTTATGATATGCTTAGGTTTAAGTTATTTAAGGTATACACACATACACACACATACAGAGACAAAAGTACAATTTTTTTTTAACCAAAGAAGATAAGAAAAAAGGGGAATTAACGTAACTACTAATTTGTGTAATTTTTTGCGAGACAATTTTTTTTATTTAATTAGAAACAAAATGTTCCGGGAATTTAAAAAAATGAGCTTAAAAAAAAAAAAATACCCGTGATTTTTCGTAAGATTATAATTTATATTTTATTTTGTTTATTTTTTTTTTTTTAGTTAATAGAATGTATTATTTAGTATATATATATATATTATGACAATACCCTCTTGTTTGTAATTCGTAATTTTAAATCTTTAATTATTGTTAATGTAAATACATATATATATATATATAGTAAGTCATTGTTTAACATACACACAGGTACACACATACATATTTTTCCTTGTAAAAGTTTTATTTTTCTTTAAATTCAAATTTGATTTATTATTTTATATACATATATATATATATATATTTTTTTTTATTTTTGGGGGTTGAAATAGAAAAAAAAAAAACGTATTGTGTTTAAAAAAAAAACAAAAAAAAGTACAAAAATAAATTTATCTTTACAATCATACGTATTTATACACATTAACACATTTAAAAATTATTTATTATTAATATAACTTTTCATTGTATTTACAAATGAGTCAAATTCGTGACTGTAACAAAATGTTTATCAATGATTTGGTTCTTTTATTCGCATAGAAGTAATATGGGACGTATAAATAAGAAATAAAAACAAAATGATTTCATCATTAATTTCATTATTATTATTATTATTATTATTATTATTATTATTATTATTATCATTGAATTTATACATGAGTCAAATTCGTGACTGTAACAAAATGTTTATCAATGATTTGGTTCTTTTATTCGCATAGAAGTAATATGAGACGTATAAATAAAATAAAAACAAAATGATTTCATTATTAATTTAATTATTATTATTATTATTATTATTATTATTATCATTGAATTTATACATGAGTCAAATTCGTGACTGTAACAAAATGTTTATCAATGATTTGGTTTTTTTATTCGCATAGAAGTAATATGAGACGTATAAACAAAATAGTTTCATCATAAATTTTATTATTATTATTCTTATTATTATTATTATTTGGATATATATATATATATATATTAATTTTTTTTAATATTGTGATAATAGTTTTTAAAGATAATTTACATTTAATGAATTTTACATTTGATTTCTGTAAAATATCATTGGATACATATATATATATATATA